TTTTTTTTTTTTTTTTATATAAAACTTGAAACCTCGTCCTGAGCAAAGCGAATAAAACATTCGTAACACTAATTTCAAGGAGAAAAATTTGGAATTAATCTGATTAGACAAATCAATAAAAATCCAGTCAAAATCCATCGAAAAATATTCTATGTCAGCTAAAACTGAAAAAGATTCAATTGAATTCAATGCAATATACTGAAAACTGTTCGACAATTTTTTATTATTTTAAAGGCTCAAGTACACCGTGAAATCGGTCGCCCTAAAATATCGTAGAAATGTTTCGTGAATTTCTTTTCGTGAGTTTACTGTACTTGGGAACCGGAAATGTCAATGGACTTCAAAGATGGGGCACACAGTTTGGACAAGCACCTCTGTTAGAAAGATTTTTCTGGAGAACGCTGGACTTTGCCTATCCAGACGAGGCCAGTAGAAGGATGGCAATGATGAAAGGAGAATTCATTCCAGAAAACGCTTTGCCCGTTGGCATAGAAATTTGGAGAAACAAGCTGTTCGTCACCGTGCCAAGATGGCGCAACGGTAAGTGAAATATAAATTAATTTCTTAGAATTTAATTCAACATATTTTCCCATCCATCTAAGTGTTAGAAAGAACGATAAAGGAGCACAAAGTAAACAAAAAAAGATATATTTATTTTACTTTATATCTTCAATTTTATACTTGTCATTATATACGAAATCAATCCAATATAGATTAAATACATATTACTCGTGTACTTCGTGAAAAAGTAAGATTTGAGAATCGATGAAAGAAAAAAGTCGCGCGACGAACAGTAACGATATGAACATTTAGATGAATGTCTCGTGTCAGGAAGCGGAAGCTGCAGTAAACACAATGTACAGAAGATCATTGCAGGCAGTGCGCGCTTAAAATCTCGTCTGGCCGACTTCCGGCTTGCAACAAAAAGTGCCGAAAACCGTGCGAGCGATTTCAATGGGGCATTTCTACGTCTCCGTTGGCCTCCGCCTCCACTTTAACCCAAAATCTTTCCCCCAACACTACGAGCCCACGAAGAAACCAAGAGTGAATGGGCTTATTCACTCCTGTACTATTTCCCACTTTTTTTCTTGCTCTCTCGGTGTTTTACCTTTATTGTACACGTTGGCGCACGCCGCACCATTGTGTATGAAACAAAAAAAATCGACAATGCCGCTGACGCATCGTGCACGATTTTTCATACTGAGGCTTTAATTCTTCTGCCTCTCGATCGATGCTCGATCCTTTGGCTTTTACCATTTTTCTGTTTCGATGTCTCTTTTTTTCTTACAATGGTCACAAACTTATATTTCATTTCTTGCGAGTTGTACTATTTTCCATAGTCGTTACTTTAGAAATTATTTTTATTTATTCCCTGTCGTAAACTATAGATGTAAAAAATTTCTATTTCATTAAAAAGAAGAGTCAATTATTTAATTGTTTCTTCAATGTGCACGTTTAACATACATTTTTCATACGATTTTTGATGCCATTTTTCAGTGACAATCTCTTTTAACGAAATTAACCAGGAGCACAATTAATATTATGATAGTAAATGTTTTTAAAACGTTCGAAGAACTAACGACTATATTTTAAATCCATTTCGTGGCATAATTGACTTCAAATTTTTCCACGGATTTATTTCTTTCTCGTGCAACAAACACTAAATTCTCCCTTCATCTCACCGATCTTTAACATTCCTCCTTTCCTTTTTCTTTCGCCTCTCGCTTTCCATTCTAGCATTCTCACCAGTCTCCTGAACTTCTATAAACGCGTCAAAGCCCACCATAGTTGGTATTGTTTTAAGGCCAACTTTTTTTATACGACCACTGCTTTGTTCGGATGGTTCTTTCTTCTGATGTCAGGTTTACTTGGACTGTCAGGCACAGAATATAAAATATTAAGGGAGGAAGGAAAGGGAAGCGAATATGCTATTCAATTGAACTCGAAAGAGTTGTAAATGTGCATGATTTTCCAAAGACAATATAGAACTCCCACGTAGTTCGTGCAATGCAGCTAATTCCGCAATAGTCGATATTTTACAATAAAACAACGTAATCGCGTAGTTCATTTCTACAATGAACGTATTTGGGAAGAATCTACCTAATTACTTCATAATTACTGCTTATTTAATGGCAGGTTCGATAAATAATATTTTGCCGTAGTATTTATCTCTTGTAAATCCGAATTACTATCGGTGATATATTTAAAATACCGTCACGATAGGCAAACTACGATTCTAATCATAAAAATTTCAAACATCTTTGAAAATACTTCGCGCAATATTCTGGAGCAGTGATCGTACGACAATCTCGTCACGCAATGGTGACATGTCAAGAAAGTTTTGCTCATTATCACAGACACGCTTTCCATCATATTACTTTCATGCGAGCTATCCGGCATCGCTAGGCCAACCAGTTCAAGAATTTTTTACGACAATAGAAATAGGAGAACTAGATACACCTAGATAAGATTGAAAGGTCAAGAATGCTGCGTGTCAACAAGAATGATTTTTACTATTAGTCACGCGATTATCAATCATGAAAGCCTAACGCATGCACCGTGTAAAATCTATATATCGATGACGAAATCAAAAGAAGGAACGTTGATGATCAATTTAAGAAAGAGATTGAAAGAACAAGAAAAGAAGATTAATTTATAGGATTATTCGTATATAACTAAATAAATGGACTTTGAAATGTTTATTGATCATAGGAATACCGGCGACATTAAACTACATATCGCTCGATGCAACTCGAGGTGGCTCGCCGAGGCTCACCCCTTATCCGAATTGGGCGCAAAACAAAGCTGGAGCTTGTGGTAGCGCAATTACTACTGCTTACAGGTACGTATATATATATCTCAATTCAGTCGATTCTGGATTTCTGGAATTTAACTGAACCACGTAATACTTGATACAACAATGTAGATTTTAAATAAATAATGTACTTTTTTAATAATTTTTCATTGAATTATAGTGTGAAATCACTGACTAAATTTCTTTTGCTATTTTCCAAATTCTATATTTTGTTTTTTAATCTTTATGACTATATATGACAATACAACTATATTATAATAAACACGAAGTTCGAGTATTGCTGTAATATTACCTAAGACTTAAAATATAACATTACATAATTGGAGAGTAAAAGTGAAGATAATAGCTGGCTATTCAATTAACTAATTCTGTAAAAATTATTTTCAATCTCCCGTTGCTCCTGAATAGATCAAACATGAGAATACGTCGTCAAAAACTAACCCAATTAACTGCATTTGTTTTATAACCTCCGATTGAATGTAAATTATTACAGAGTAACATAGAATGAATTGCGACCGTTCTGAATGAAGGGAAAAAATAAACGATAAAATCTTGCAGAATCGATCAGATCTTAATCTCTATAGGAGATATTAAACTCTATAGAAAATAGTCTTGACTAAATAATGCAATTTATCTGTTACTAACGAAATCTCAAACCTGTGAGAACATTCTCTCGCTTTTTCTTACGTAACACTAAAGAAAATAAAGATTTCCTAGGTTCCATTCTCTCGCGATTTACGAGATACGAGCAGTAGATTGCGAAATTCTGTCGCACGAACAATTTTTCCACTTTTCGAAGTTATTTACTGGACTTTACTGACAATTAACAGAAACAAAACACAGAGTGCATCGCAAATTGCAAGAAATTGAAATTCTAAATACT